TCTCCACCTATCATATTCCTTTTGTGTATATGGCCAAATAACATCACTGAAAAACTCCACCCTATTCCACCAAGTCAACATTAATTGTCTTATGTAGAAAGTTTAACAAACAAAACAGGCTTCAAAAATTCAGATTTTTTAAAAGGTGGCCTCATTGTGAGTAGGTGAAATTATGGAGACATCATATAGATCACATATTTCCTCAATAGCTGAGTGCTCTTGTTTAGATGGCAATGTTAAAAAAAAAAAAAAACCCAAAAAAAGTGTTACGAGTGTTGTTTCTGGAACATAGCTGCCTGAGTTTAACCTACTTAATGGTTGTGTGGCTTAAAATGTTAGTCTCTCTCTTGGTAGTATGAGGGTGAAGGATAAAACAATAGTTTCTACCTCACTGGGATGCTGTGAGCATTAAATGAGATAATCCACATCAAGTGTACTAAAAATGCATGACACATTAGCAAGTGCTAAAAAAAAAAATTATTTACCTTTTTGTGACTTATTGGTTAAGGGAACTGAAAAAACATTTTTTTTAACCCTAAATGATATTCTTCTAAAATGTAATTTAAATTATTTTAAAATGTAAAAATTTAATACTGATCAATTAAATATATAAATCATATTTATTGTAATTGAGGAATTCACTTAATAGGCCTTGGCTTGACAGCCTACATGCCACCACCTAAACAGCAGATGGATAAAGAACAGTTTCGCCCTTGAAAACCTGTTTCTTATGGAGGAGACAAATCTGTAAAATAGACACCTGCATTTCACAAATTAGGAACTATTTCAATGAATAGAAAGCTCTTAAACATGCATGACCAATTTTTAAAAAATCAAATTTTAGTAAAATGAACATAATCATTATGTAACAATATTTTTAATGATTTTGAAATCCCTTTAAGATACCACACGCTGCAGAATCATTCTAAAAAATCATCGATATGTAGACACACGTGTATGTTAAAACTATGTCCTTGGGCTGGGTGCGGTGACTCAAGCCTGTAATCCCAGTACTTTGGGAGGCTGAGGCGGGCGGATCACGAGGGTCAGGAGATTGAGACCATCCTGGCTAACATGGTGAAACCCTGTCTCTATTAAAAATACAAAAAATTAGCTGGGTGTGGTGGTAGGTGCCTGTAGTCCCAGCTACTCGGGAAGCTGAGGCAGGAGAATGGTGTGAACCCGGGAGGTGGAGCTTGCAGTGAGCCGAGATCCCGCCACTGCACCCCAGCCTGGGCAACAGAGCAAAACTCCGTCTCAAAAAAAAAAAATGGCCGAGCACAGTGGCTCACACCTGTAATCCCAGCACTTTGGGAGGCCGAGGCAGGTAGATCATTTGCAGTCAGTTCTAGACCAATCTGGCCAACATGGCAAAACCCTGTCTCTACCAAAACATAGGAAAAACCAAAAACAAAAAAACAGCTGGGCATGGTGGCACGCGCCTGTAGTCCCAGCTGCTCAAGAGACTGAGGCATGAGAATCGCTTGAACGCAGGAGGCCGAGATCGCAGTAAGCCGAGACTGCACCACTGCACTCTGGGTAACAGTGACAGTCTCAAAAAAAAAAAAAAAAAAAAAGGGAAAAAAAAAATACACATTTGCTGTGAGTATAGAAGAGTTAAACCAGTAACTAAAAATATTGGTTCTTTATAGTAGGTAGGTGGGGATTTGTGCAAGAGACATAGAAAGGTTAAACAAGAAACTAGAGTTTACTATGGGCAGGCGGGAAAGTGATAGAAAGCAGCTGGGAATGGGAATGGGGTGGGAGGAAAGAGGTACGAACAACACTTCTCCATGTATATCCTTTTACAAAGCTCAGACTCTGAGAACCACCTGAGTGTTTCACATATTTTTCACATACTGAAAAAATGAATCATTAAAATCAACCAAGATGTGGAGAGAACCCTCAAACAGTAAAAAATGGACCAAGAGTACAAATCACTCCACAGATCAGAGAGGGTGGGAAAGAAAAGGACCTAAGGAACTTCTTTGAAAAACTGTTTCTTTACTGATAATACGAGGCAAAACCCAAAAAGAATTGCATAACAGTGCAATGTAGTTAATGTGTTTCTCCTAGGGTATGAATTAGCTCTTCTGAAACTACATGTATATTACAGTGAAAAAAAAAAAAAAACAAAAAACCAGTAAGTAAATACACTGCAGACAAGAGGCAGGTTACCCATGTTATAAACAAAGTAACAAATCAGGAAAAACAGAAATTAATGCTGTATTAGATTAGAATCAGAAGTATCAGTGCAAACTCATGGTTTTTAATAAACAGATACATAAATATATATTCATTAATACATATACATGTATTTCCTAGCTCTATCTGCTGAAAAGGCCCAAGAGGCAATGACACCCCACTGGCAATTAGTATACTTAACTGAACAGATGTTGGTTTCTAAACACCATGTTCCAATTAAAGGAACCAGGGTTCCTTGAAGTGGTTGTTTCCAGGGCTGGGACTGGAAAAATAGATGGTCCTGTAGTATTTTGTGGTACCAGTAAGAAAGTGTTCAAAAAAAGATGGGAACTTGTTGAAAGAAATCAGGAGTTAACTCAAAGGAGTTCCTAATGGGCAAATGCAGAATTTGAGCAACAAAACAATGGTAGTAAGTAATGAATTTTAACCCATATAATCAAATATCCAGGTGTCCACAGATATAATCAAATAAGCTGGGAGACAGAGGTATGGAGACAAAACTTGTTATTATAAAAGGATTTCAAGAAATAAATGTGGAAGAAAAGGGCAAAACAGAAAATCAACTTTAGGCAAACACCACAGTGATAACTGTTACAGACAAGGTCCACCAATAAATGCAAAACTTAGCATAAGCTGGAGGAGAAAAGAATTTGCATGTCTCATGCATCACTCATGTATCGCTCCCAAGATACGAACTAGAAAGGAAGCGGTAATTTTACAGTGGAGATACCTGGCAATCACCTTAACCAAGTGATTAAGACTGACACACCAAAATAAGGAACTCGAAATGACACACTAGAATGTACCTCTTGATATGATGCATTTTCTGTGGTATTCTTTTCAAAATTGCAAAACCTCAAGGCATCTGAGTACATCAAACAAATCTAAACTAAGGAACATCCTCAAAATATCCCACCAGTACTCTTCAAAAATATCAAAGTTATGAAAGACAAACTGAGGAACTGTCTGAGACTGGAGGAAAGACTAACGAGCAGTAAGTAACAAATAAACACAAGATGGAGTCATAGACAAGACCTGGGGAACAGAAGAACACTCGTTCTTTTTCTAATGGAAAATTTGGTGGAAAAGTTGGTGAAATTCAAGTAAGACCTGTAGTTTAGGTAATGCCATTACACCAACATAAATTTCCTGATTTGGATAATTATATTATGGTTCTATGTTGTAATACTGAGGGAGGCTGAATGAAATTAGGGTATATGGGAACTCCTGGTACTATTTTGTGCAATTGTTCTGAAGGACTAAAGTTATTATATTTCAAAATAGAAAGTTTAAGAGAGAATCTCCTGGTTTGTTTTATAACGGTTTAAAACAGAACAGGTAAGACCAACTTCATTTTGTCCCAAACTTTAATATAAATAAGTTATAATTTTAAATTACAATTTAATACTTTGTTAGAAGACTGAAGCTATGAAATGGGGCAACACTATTTCATGGTCTCCAAAGCAGAACATGCAAAAATGTGTTATCAAACACCACTTCTCCTACCGTCTTGTTCTATGAGGGAAAACCTATCTCAAAGATGTAACATAGGCTCAAAATCAAGTTTGTGAACATGAAAAATTATTTAATGACAGGCGTCTTGAAATTACAAATCTGTTAAGAACACCACAATAGTCCTACAGTAAAGTTTGTTTCTAGGAAAAAAAATCTAGCACAGAAAGGCTCGTGAATAGCAATTCCTAACGGGAGCACCTTTGTGTGTGTAATTTCTGCTTTGGTTTTAGTGGGGGTTGGGGCATGAACTGAAAGAAATACTTTTTAACTACAAAATATATGCACAGTTGATCTAAATTTACTAAAGAAGAAATCTACATTTTTAGGTGATCTTTCAAAATCAGTCGTTGGTTTGAATTACCCATTAACTAGTGGGGATTCAAGTTTGCTCCCTTGTCATTAAAATACATATTCATAAAGCTTTAAAGTTACACTGTTCTAGTTACAAATAGCTTCTACTTTTCTAGGACATAATTTCACTTTGTTTAAGAAGAATTCATTAAAGAAGCTATAAATAACCTTTAAATATTTAGCCATGAATAGAGGGTGGACTGGCATTGATGGCTTATTTTAGTACTAACGCAGAATGCTTTTTATTTATTTATTTATTTTTTTGAGACGGAGTCTGGCTCTGTCACCCAGGCTGGAGTGCAGTGGCCGGATCTCAGCTCACTGCAAGCTCCGCCTCCCGGGTTTACGCCATTCTCCTGGCTCAGCCTCCCGGGTAGCTGGGACTACAGACGCCCGCCACCTCACCCGGCTAGTTTTTTGTAGTTTTTTTTTTTCAGTAGAGACGGGGTTTCACCGTGTTAGCCAGGATGGTCTCGATCTCCTGACCTCGTGATCCGCCCGTCTCGGCCTCCCAAAGTGCTGGGATTACAGGCTTGAGACACCGCGCCCGGCCCAGAATGCTTTTTAAAAGCTACATTTTAGCATGCATCGAGCTAATGATTAACTTGTAGTGTTATTTGCAATGTTAGAAAAAAATTTATCTTTGAGGAGTTGTGCTCAAAGTAAATGTGTTATTTCAGTTAGTAGGAAAGTAGCCTTAAAGAATGCAAATGTTGGGAAGATGAAATTGTAAGGAATTTTTATTTAAAACGTTTAAACATCTAGACCTTTCCTTGTCTCCCAAAACATAATCCCAGTGAAACTGCAAAAACTAAGGGAGAAGTGTCTGAGGAACTGAAAGAATTCCAGATCTGTTGTGTGACACATGTAGCACATACATGAATCAAGGACATATCTCTACTCAATTTTGAATCATAAAGTTCACAACATTTTTGAGACCAAGTTTCATAAAGTTTTTACTGGAAAAAAAAGTTTTACAAAATATCTTTCCAAAGAAATTTTCCCATAGAGTACAATTAATTCATGTAGCTTTCTTCCTTAAAGATTACAGTATGACATTCAGAGGGGCGAGGTTTCTTGAATAGCCAACTAGCTGCAAAACCTACAAGAGAAGTAGATTTTTTTAAAGTGCCTTTAAAATGTGAAAGCAAGTAATATAATTGTTGAATCTATTTGAAATTTTAAAATTTTCTTTAAAATGGTCCATATGGTATGCACAATATCACAGCTGGCACAAAACTGCCTGTATTTAGTTTGAAACACAAAAACAATGCATATGAACAGTATTCTTTGAAAAGTAATTCAAAATGCTGCCACTGCATCATAAAGGCAAACTTAGACAAGAATGTTGACAGTATTCAGAGAATTAACAAAACAAGCCGAATATTAAAGTATTCAGACAGTTACTTTGATTTTTTCAAATACCAAGGGTAAAAGAACTTGTTGCCAAAGTAACTCAGGATACCTTATTTCAAACTACATGTAACCTATTTTGCTATAGATATTCTAAACAAATAAACAACTAGGTTTTAGGATGTAAATTCTCATTTCCTAGACAGGGCCTAGTTTTTCTGTTGCAATCTGGCAGCTTTAAACTTTGAAACCCTCTTTCCAGTTTCTTCTGATGCTTCCAACAGAACTTCCTTTCGTTCTGGAATAGTGGGTAGTGCAGGATGAGCAATGGCTGGGTGTGGTGTTAAGGAAGGCGATACAAATTCTTTTTCTATAACAGTTCCAGAAAAAGCCTAGAAAACAAAAGTCAGGTTATGGTAATAAAATGCAAGTAAGACACCCACAAAATCTTCCCATTCACTAATTTGACATTTCTTTTCATTAAAAGTAAATTCACAAGATTTGTGGCTAGACAACACTACTACATCAAAATACCAATTGTTCAGAGAAACTAACACCATTACATTTTAATTTCACCACCAAATAGAAGTAATTTTTACAGTATACATGCAAGAAAACAAAATGTAAAATGTAAATTTTATCTGGGAAAAAACAGAAATGGATAAATAAAAGGTCTTCAAACTTTCATACATTCCATTCATGTCCACCCCATGCTGTGAAAAATAACATATTAAAATAAAAATGCTATTAGGGTGTCAAACTCCGACTTCTGTACATCAGTTGATGAATGAGCTATCCTATGGTGGCCTTGCACCTGCTAGCCAATAGCTTAGTTTCACCCAGTACTGACATTTCTAACTGAAATCTCTTTGGTGGTGTTTATGCAATTATTTAAATATTTTATTGCATTTTGCCTCAATTTTAAGAGATCAGTGGAAGTTGAAAAATAAAAGTGCTGACACTAGTAGGAATAAGCACAGGTTTCAAAATTTTAAGATAATTAACTCCGACAGAAATCAGAAGTTCCACAAAAAAAGAAAATGACTCAATTTCAACTGGATGTTTGCTGCATTTAATCTGGCCAACTGTATGTTCAACTGGAACAGAATTAAACAATGTGCATACATTGCTGGAAATATCTGTACATGTTGTTTTATACAAAAATAGGTAAGACCCAAGGAGGTTTTTTTTTTTTTTTTTGAGACACAGTCTCCCTCTGTCACCCAGGCTGGAGTGCAGTGGTGCAATCTCGCCTCACTGAAAGTTTCGCCTCCTGGGTTCACGCCATTCTTCTGCCTCAGCCTCCCGAGTAGCTGGCACTACAGGCGCCCACCACCACGCCCGGCTAATTTTTTTCTTTGTATTTTTTAGAAGAGACGGGGTTTCACTGTGTTAGCCAGGATGGTCTCAATCTCCTGATCTCGTGATCCGCCCGCCTCGGCCTCCCACAGTGCTGTGCTGAGATTACAGGCATCAGCCACCACGCCCGGCCAATTTTTTTTTTTTTAAAGATTTCTCATATTTAGAACCTCCATCCTTCCCTCTACAAACCAAAATTTGACAGGTGAACTTTAATGTACACTTTGCTTTCCTCTGTCTACCAACTGCTCAAAATTAGTTAAAACAACATTATCACCTGAATAATTTAAAAAGCCACCTTCTTCTACCTTGCCCCACCACTGAAACAAAAACAAAGAAAGCCATCTCTCTCCTACATTATTTCTGGAGTTCAGCTGGTAAAAGCAGCTTAAAGCTTACTTTCCTAAAAACTCCACTTTATCACGATGAGCACAGAGCCTTCTTCTCCTTCTTCTATTTAAAATGCTTTTGAAAAAGAGATATTTTAGCATTTAAAAAGATACTGAAAAGGGTATCTTCCAAAGCACTTACCATAATCATGAACTATTTCTTTGATGTTAAAAAATTTATAGCAACTACTATTAAACATTTCCATACAAAATGCAAAACTAGTAAGGGTGAAATAAAAAATAGGTTCCACACTCTAGCTGTACCATGATACACTAAGTCCTTACAAAAAGCTAATATTCAAATATTTATCAGCAAAAGTCTATATCCATTACCTGTTTTCTAACAGTATGAAAGACAATTAAATAAGGTAAGATACTTTCCAGGTCACCTAAGATCATTATACTGAGAAGAGGCGAAGAAAACATTCTAGTCATATGTACTGTCCCTAAATGCTACCAATCTCCACCCCCAATTACCATTTAATACACTGAGTATAATACCATTTAGTAAAGGCAATGGAATTTTTATATAAGATTTATATATATGCATGCATCTTATTGTATATACAAACGTGTACATTGATTTGATCCAGGCATGGGTTCCCTAATCTTCCTACTTTTTAAATTGAAAACTTCAAATACTCACCAAAACACAAGAATGAAGAAATTAATGGCCTTATATTTCACAGACATCCTTATTTGGGGATTTCCTAACCTCCCCCGCACCGCCACCAAAAACTGTTAGAGGCGTGGTGGGTGAAAGTGTATTGAGTGTGCACTATTTTTTCTAAGGACATGGTCTACAGCTTTCATCAGATTATAAAACAATTCCATAATCCCCCAAGAGTTAAGTTTCACTGGTACAGGGCAAAATATTAGACTTTAGATAATTATCTGCTATGCATGCATTATTTTTCTTTAACTTAGCCAAGGTATTTAAAAGAGAATAGTATAATCTGATCCTTACACTATCAGAAAATGACCTACTGGTCATTTATTTAAAATAAACTGCTAAATAATTTCCTAGCTACAAATGTAATACATAATGCCAAGTAAGATATTTTAAATTTCCCATTTTGCTGAAATAGACACAATAATGTGTCTATTAAGACAAGTAATGTGTTTATCAAAAAATAAACTATTTGAGTATCACAATATTTGTACTGTTTGCTTGTGACTGTTAATTTTTTATTAATTAGTATCAAGAAAGTATGAAACCTAGAATTAATTAAATCTTATGACTTTTCAGATCAAATAGCTAAAATTGGCCAAAGATACTATACGAAATAAAGAATTAAAAGACACACACACACCTCAGGTGTTACTGATAAGGGCAAAAGTTTCTTTTGATGACTTTCTTGTGGTTCCTCTTCCAAAATGCTCTCACTGGTGTCACTGCAAGTGGCTTCTTCGCAGCTGATACTCCTCAAAACTCCCCGCCTATCGTCAAATTCAGCAGCACTGCTTTCACTGGTGTCACTACACACACTATTCTCCCTACTTCGAGACTTCAGGATTGATTTGCGAGGGACATATTCTCCATTCACAACATCAACAAAGGCTCTGTGATATTCAAAACACATATACATTCACTGTACGTAATTCATAAAACTGAGAATAATCTTTTGAAAATTTCCTTAAATCTGTAGAAATTAATCTGAAAATTTTTATTAAAACTTTGTATCTAAAATAGTCACAATCACAATTAATTTTATAGCCTCAAATGACATTTTCATACTATTTTGAAAGATACGATTTATCTGGCCTAATAAAACACAGCATGTTATTTTTAAGCATGTCCTAGGTGGCAATAGCATGGTTTGCCAAAACTCTACATAAAGTTTTAGACCCATGTATACATTTAGCAGTTTTCACTATTTAATAAGGGTCATAAAAACAGTACGTATTTTCTAGTGATAGTTTTCTCAACAAACAATTCCAAAAAAAAAAAAAAAAAAAAAACTGCAACAGTATAACTTCTACTCTGAAAAGGTAAACTGCATGCCAAGAAACCTACGGACCTAGCCCACTGGAAACAAAAATGCATTTCTGAAGATACAAGATTTTCTGACTAGACCATTTGGAAATGTTTCAAAAGCACTGGTGAAGAGGAGAAAGTGAAAAAAAAAATTCCTCCATTCCCACTGCTCTGGACTGGGAAGCTACAGCCACTCAGCCTATCAGATTCTAAGCTAACTCCTCAGAACACTTCACATTTCAGTGAGGGTCTTCTGTGTTACAAACAACTTTCTCTGGTAAAGGTTCAGTGGCAGAAAGAGAGACAAGGCCAGCAGACGGCCCTGCAGCTGTGAGCGCCTCCCACCTATAAATGTCAGCAGGTGTCCTGATGGTCGGCAGCTCCTGGGCAGAGTGGCCACTGCCAGTGCTGTTCTTTCGTTTACGTTTGGCTTCTTCTTTCTTTTCACTGAATTTTAAAGTGGTATTCTTTCCAGTATTTATTCGGACCTAAAATTTCAGACCAAGAAATTAAGAACCTTTTGACAAATTAAATAAAAGTGAAACCAAAACAAATAAACTCTATAACTAAACAAATAATAGTAAGAGAGGCAGCTGAAATTTTCTGATGCTGAAATGATGTGCATTATCAGGTGGAATTTTAAAAAGTCCTTACCTCACAGATCTATGACCTCTAAAGTAAATCTTTAATAACAAATCCTAGTCTTCAGTGTCTTTATTATTGTAGAGAAAGCAAACTACATTTGAACTAAATGCTAGATTTCTTATAAGCTTCATATCACCCGATTCCTTTGATATAAGTTTTTGGCTTGAATTATGTATTTCAAAAGAAAGAGTATAAACAACAACAACAAAAAATTCAGTAAGAATATAATTTTTAAGTCATAAAAGTACTATTAAATAGTGCCTATTTAGAATTTTTAAAACATCTCTAACTTTTAGAAATTGAAGAAGTAAAAAAAAAAAAACCAACCCTGTTCAGGGTTCACATGGGGTTAACATGTTATTTTTCCTCCCCTAGTCAGCACTTAGACCATACTTTCCACAGTAATGCCCACTATTCCCTATAACATTCCTGCAAATAATACTTGTTCGTTCTATCTAAATGAAAACAGGAAAAAAGTAAAAGCCTGGCAAAAGAATCACAAAGCGACCTTTTCTGGTTAATCATCTCAGTCAACTTTTCCCGAAGAATCAGGGGAAGACCCCTTCAGTCTGACATATTAGAATATAAAAACACATACAATTATTTCACTTCTTATTGGAGCAGGAATAACTCAGGAAGCTAAGAAATATCAAATATGTTTTAAAACATATTTCATTAAATAATAATCACACACACTTAAGACTGATACCACAGACCCTTAACTCTGTTACAGGCAATTGGGAATATTGTGTAGAAAGGGCACTCACTGAGGCGAAAGAGTTTCTGTTTTATTACCAACTAGATCTATGTCTACTAGGCCTTAAATTTCCCTGAGAAAGACGAATTAGACGAATTCCCAGTGCCTCCTTAGAACAGTACATGGAGCAGAGAGAGGGCAAAGATGGACTTAAGGCAGCCAATCCTTCCTTCAATCGGAGCCAACCTGCTTTGATCTATTTTAAACACTGGGATTCTACAGTAAGTATGGAGGGAACAAAAGGCTTTTCATACTAGAGAAAAGCTTTAAAACTCTGTATTAGAAAATCTCCACAGTCACCCCCAGCTCTAAAATGCCAAAATTCTAAAGTCATGATTATCCACAGATGTTTATATTTACTTTGTCAGAAAAGAAACTAATTTTTACTTTCTCCTACATTTTCCCTTTGTGCTTATGAAGTATTCATTTTATGTCCATAGAAAACAACCTGGCATAATTAGAAATTTAACTAATGCAGTCACTTTCAACATGCTAAGCACACCAAAATATCCACAATATAATTAACTCCAGGATTCTTGAGAAAACTCTCTGAATGAAGGCCAGGTGAAGTTACAGTAGCTGCCACTCAAATCTGATCCCCTTCCAGACCCCAAACAATGCATTGTTTCAGAGAACAATGGACCAATACCAGCTAACTAAATTTTTTTCCCCCTTTTTCTTCCTAAATTGGTCAGAACAAGAGGCAAAAGATGATTTTCCTGTCTGGCACTATCTACAATGATGATGACTGTTAATACTACTCTTTTAAAAAATATCATAATGCTTAATGTTCAAATTATATGCAAAATTAGTAAAGTTAAAAGTATACAAACCCTCTTAGGCTCAACAGTATGAGAAAAATATATTGTTGGTATAGAATTATCTCCAACCCCTAAAGCCTCATGGTCATTATCACCATCATGGTCATCAATGTTGTCGTCGTCCTCATCGTCATCATCATCATCACCATCACTGTGGTAAGAACTGGAACCATTCACTGAACAGTTCAACTGACTACTCATTTGAACACTGAATGGTTCTGAACTTGCAACATCCTTATGACAACTGTCCAGAGTATGAGAGTCTGTTACTTGATACATTGCATTCACATTTGTGTTATGATCTTCCTTTTCCTCTTCAGAAGATGTCGTATCTTCTCCATTTGCAATCACAATATCAGGCTTACTAGTAAGGGAGAAGAAAATTAACAAGATCAAACAAACATACTAGAATTTTACATTATTTAAATTTCCAGTTAGTTTCCATGGGTAAATACTAAGATCTTGAATAAAGTATTTTTAAAACTAGAATTCTAAGTTCAAAAACAAAAAAATGTTTTGAAGTTAACAAAAAACATTAGTTCCTATGCTGCTTCTATATATTGCAGTTATTCAGACGTAAGCAGAATATAGAAGATAATTTTTTTATCTTTGCAAGAAAGATATTGGCCATATGCAATATAAATATAGTACCAATAATAACAAAGTTGTAAGAAATTCAGAGAACATGTCTCTCTACTTAAAGGCCAGAAATTGAAACCACATAACCATAATACACACTTATTTTCTACTCCTATACTCAGATTTTACAATGAGCATGTATTACTGTAATTTTAAAAAATAAAGGATTTATACATATGCACATGAATATACTTATATTTATACACACGAGTGAACACTTATCATACTTGATTCTATAAAAGATTTGAGGACCTTACAAAAATAACAAAATTGAAAATGCAACAGAACTGAAATAACATCATACAAAAATAGAGAATCATGACCAAGAAAAATCACAAGATTCAAAACTGGTTTTTAAAAATGAATAGTATCAGTTAATCAAAAAGACCTAAGAATTTATAGGTGAAATGGTAGGAAAAAGAAACTTGTATGCTTCCTGCCCTATTTTTCACAGAAACTAATTATTGCATATGGTACATCATTTAAGCAAAATAATACAGGAACTTCTCGAGCAGCAGACTTCATTTAGCATTTTAACAATTCTAAGTATGTGCTAATGTGTATTTCAAAGAGCAATTTGGTAAAGTTTCTCATACATATAGCTATCTGACCAGATTACAAATTACCTGCTCCAAAGTTTATAAAAGGAAAGCAAGAATAAACATTTTACTGTATCAAACTTAAATTCAAAGGGTATTTCTGTTTTTCACAACACATTCAAAGATAGAGCACTATCCTGGGTGTAGTATAAAAATACTTCATTTAAAATTGAACATTATATACATTAAATCCAAGATTATTAAAAGTCAACTATCTGGTATAATTATACAAAATAGGCTATAATAAAAAAATGAAGATGTTTATCTTAAGTATTAAAGTACATGCACATGCATGGGAATATGCACACACACACAATCCTGTAAGAAAATATTCCAAAGAATTAATGTTTATCTTGAGGTGAAAGGATTATTGATAATATATTATGCTTCCCCGCATTTTCTTCAATGAACACATACTATTTTATTAATGAAGAAAGATTAATGAGGAAATGTATACAGAAACAAATTATCTTGGAAAGATAATCTGTAATCAAGTACCTATCAAGTTCACCCAGCAATTCTTCTTGTCTCTCTAGTTCTTCAAGTCGAGCCCACAGTTCTTTATCAGCAAGCAAATCCTTGGATTTCACATCATTTGCAATATCTGCTTCAAAAATATCTGAAGTTTTTGGTTTGGAATGCGGTTTATGAGCAATTCGGTGTTTTGCTATTTAGAAAAAGGGAAAGACATGGCTGTTAATAGCCAACATAAAAAAAGCACAAACCCAGACTTAATGAGACTTTCTTTTGGGGCAAGGGAGACATTGAAACAGAGCGGTCACAATTTTTAAGCCAAACAGGAGAACTCCAAGGGTGAATGTCTCTTACAGCCTTGCTACTCAAAGCGTGGTCCATGGACCAGCAGCACTGGTGTCCCTGGGGAACACTTCAGAAGGGTAAGCTCTAAGGACACCCCAGACCCACTGAATCAGAATCTGTACTTCAACAAGAGCCCCAGAGAATCTGCATGCACATTAAAGGTTGTGAAGCAGAGCTTCAAAAATGCATATGGAGAAATGGCCACAAAGCACCCTGGTTATAAGGTGAAATGCAACACATAAATGATAAATTTCCATTTACCACCCTTACTCAAGGAAATCTAGTTACTACAGTAACATGCAAAAGCCTTGTCAAAGGACACTTTAAACTCCAGGGTGCTGCCAAGGAATGAATACCCTACAAGGAAACAATAGAGGCTCACCTCCGTAAAGTTCTATTATCATTTTACATATGAACATCTCTACTTTTTAAACTGCTTCATTTTATTTGTAATCTTCATGTGAGGAAAGAAGATGGGTCAAATCTGAACTCAGAGTATCTGTTTTTCATTTTAAAAAATAGATTATTTTGTCTTTATTTGTCTTATAAAGACTTATAAAGTCTTTATTTGCTTTATTAAAGCAAAGTAATGGGAAAGTAATGGGAAAAAGTCTAAGATATGTCCTGTTATGAGATATGGCACTACTAGATGACCTCGAGTCCATCATCTACTCAATTTTGCTGCACTGTTGTATAAATCTGAAAATATCAAAATTATGTTTCATAGCCTTATTCTCTGTAACTATTATTGATAAGACAGTAGTTAACAACTTTATTTCAGACCTGTAGCACTCATAATTTATCACTGGTCACCACAAACAAAAATCTTGTCTTTCTGTTCTTTAACTTTAACATATATCTCCTTTATTTCACCTTCTAAAGTCACTTCCTGTTACTTGTGACATGGCTTCTTTCAACCACTAAGTTATCTTAAAGAGATCATTACCAAAATGTGAGCATTAAAAGTCAAAACAAATGCTTAGTACATTTGTTTAGGACACTGTACAGTCTTCTACAGTAGCAGATAATAAGCCATCTGTAATACTTTTACAACTTCACTACTGTTAACACTTTACAACTGACGAAGGAGCCACCGGCTTTACAGAAGTAAACCCAAACACATAAGCCATCCTTGGCAAAAGAAATCTACTGGGTGGAGATGGGAACAACCTGCGCAGGGAAAGCCACTGCAGGCACCATAAAAGGAATGGCTGAAATACACCCACATTCATTCATTCTTCCAAAGACAGCATACACAGCTGCAGTTTCAAAAGGAGAAAAACCAGCAAAAGGTATCTGAGGACTTCACCATGGTCAGAGATCAAATCAGGAGCAAATCCATGTCTAGAATACACATCTTCTGAGTTTCAGAGGTTTGGAGCACTGGAGAACTTTGGGAGAAAAAAGCCATGTAATCCCACCACTAAAACAGACCAGTCAGGAATCACATTCTTAACCAAACGTTACTTATCCATTAGTGTTTCACATAAAAAAAAACTAATGAGTAGAAAAATGTTTCCATCCTATGAATTTAAAAGTGTATTCTAAATCCCAAATATCTCACAGAAAGCCCAGGGAAAATCAACAGAAATCAAAATATCTAAACAGTTACACATAAAACAATCTTACTGCTTACCTTTAAATTCAAAGTCACATTTAATTTCTTCTCTTATGTCAACGATATCACCTGCAGCCTAATTTTTAAACAAACAAAAAAAAAGCATATTAACAACACAAATCTCCAGCATATTAAAATTATCCAAAGAGCATCTATTCAACCTAAGATGTCTGAAAGCATTTTAAATGTCAATTAATTTGTTCCTTGGCTGTAAGACAGCTTCATATTTCTTTGAAAATATTTTCTAAAAATATAGAAGACTAAAAACGAATACGCACATCACTCATTTTCTGCAAATCTTCTGTGAATTCAACTCTGGATTCAAAATTTTTCATCACTTTTTTTAAGTCATCTATTGTTTTTCTTACAT